CACACACACACACACTCAAACACACACACACACACACGCACACACTCATACAATAGCCAACAATACATTGTATGGGTCAAAAATTATAATTTTTCTTTTATGCCAAAATCATTAGGATATTAAGTAAAGATCATGTTCCATGAAGATATTTTGTAAATCTCCTACCGTAAATATATCAAAACTTAATTTTTTATTAGTAATATGCATTGCTAAGAACTTCATTTGAACAACTTTAAAGATGATTTTCTCAATATTTAGATTTTTTTGCACCCTCAGATTCCAGATTTTCTAATATTGTCCGATCCTAACAAACCATACATCAGTGGAAAGCTTATTTATTCAGCTTTCAGATTTTGACCCTTATGCCTGGTTTTGAGGAGCGTTTGTTTCCAGAAGCTTTACTTTCACTGTTCCTCAGCGGAGGAATGATCTTCACAAGCCTCCAGTAATATGCATTGCTAAGAACTTCATTTGAACAACTTTAAAGATGATTTTCTCAATATTTAGATTTTTTTGCACCCTCAGATTCCAGATTTTCAAATAGTTGCATCTCAGCCAAATATTGTCTTATCCTAACAAACCATACATCAATGGAAAGATGATTTATTCAGCTTTCAGATTTTGACCCTTATGCCTGGTTTTGTGGGAGCGTTTGTTTCCAGAAGCTTTACATTCACTGTTCCTCAGCGGAGGAATGATCTTCACAAGCCTCCAGAACATCTCACATCTTCTGAGGAGCCTTTATTTCTTCAGCTCTCAATCACTGCATTATATGTTTGGAGCATTTCAATCTCATCTCACTGAGACAGATTACTGGAGATACAGAGACTATTATTTATTTTATTTTATGTCAGTATCTGCTGTACTGTTAAAGATCTCATTACACTACATTACATCATATAAATATCAGCATCTGCACCAAATTGCATATTTTTGCTCAGTTTGAGTCTCTGAATAAAATTGATATTTTTTCCCCTCCACATTCTCAGACTATATGAGCCATAAAAACCTGATACATCAAATATGTACTTAAAAAAGCAAACTTTTAAAAATATTTTGTCTAAAGACTTTTGTTTCATTTCAAAAAATGAAATGAAACAGATTTTTCAGACTATTATTTTATACGTAAGGCTTCACAGGGTTAACTGCACGTCTCAGTGATGCTGTGCGTGTAACACAGAATATGATGGATGATGCAGAGCTGCTCTCCTCTCTAATAATGAACACGTTATGTAACCGACTCACAATGGTTTTCTCAAGATCCAGCAGCGTTAGTCACCCGCTGTCGGCCGTTCCGTCAAAATAAGCTCATCACATGAGAAAGAAGCATTAAAGCTGCCTTATACTAAAGCACAGAGCTCTCTTTGTGAGATATACAACATGAGCATGTCTCCAAAATAAACTAATCTATTACACTAGCGGCCAGAAGTTTAGACACACTGACTCATGATTTTAAAAAACGTTTGATGTAAAGGCAACAAAAATGGGATTTGAAGACAAATATAAATTGTCCACACAACAATTGTGGCCTAAAAATAGCATCGTTAGAAAGCTAAAATATTATTTTTATTTATGGAGCAAATAGTGAAGTAATATAATGAAAACTAAAAAAAATATATTCACCAGAAACATTATCACCATCTGCTACAATTCACAAACTAAAATAATATTTCCTCCTTTTCTAGTTTCTAAAATCAGCGTAATAAGTTGATGATGAATGTCCAGAGCTGGAACTGTATTATTTCATTTATGTATTATTATTCATTGTATTATTTACGTAACATAAATCTATTAAGAATATATCAGTTTTTAACTTTTTTCTAACATGTGGAAAAACAGTCGTACAACTTTTGACCGGTAGATATAAGTAAAAAGTAGCTTATATAATAACAGCCTAAATATATAGAAAGCATATATATTATTAAGTGCAGTATTTTATTTTATTTTTTCAAACTAAAACTTATTTCAAACTAAATTCAAGTAACAGATCTACAGCTATTTTTTCTCTCTCACCATTACAGCTCTAAACGGGTCTTCAGCATTTTAGAACAATACATTTGCGTTATTCTGCATGCTCTGCGAGGCTTCAGCTGTGCTGTAATAAAAGCTGTATTTAAATGACTCGGAGTTGAGCATGGAGGTCTCACCGGTGAGTTTGGGGTCCGTCTTGCGGCGGAATCGCTCCTTTGCGCGGAGTCTGGAGAAGGTTCGTTTGAGCAGCGGCTCGGCCATCACTGAAGCGCCTCAGAGCCGCCTCACGAGAAGCGCGGAGCCCGAGCTGAAGAACGGAGCTGCGCGGCGCATGATGCAGCAAACACAGGAAAAACATTCCACGCATTCCACTGCTGAGAGCCGCGCGCCGCGAGGCATCATGGGAAATGTAGTTCACTGTCTACTGTCAGTATATAAGAACTACACATAATAAATATGTAAATAAGTATGTCTATGTATATACGGCCAGACTGACAAACTGCAATTTGACTTCAATTTCTAGAACGTATTGAAGTCCGTCTGTTTAATACATTTAAGCATTTTCTACTTTTTAGCTCAAAAAGTTTTGGTAATGCTTGAAGCCGTTAAATACAATGCATTATAAAATTATTTGAATGCATTAATTATGAATCGTAATGCACCTTATAATGCATTGCATGATCTCATGAATAACTGTAACCACGATTATAATAAATTATAATACTTATCTATTGTTACACCTTTAATCAGTATAATGCATTAAAACAATTTCAGATGTAACAATCTGCAAATATTATAATGCATTTAACTTTACAATTACATATAATAGATTATGAATACCTGTATAATGCATGCAACTGATCTAGTTTATTTTTTAATATTTAAAAAATATTTCAATCATGGTGTTATTGTGAATGATTCATCAGTGATGTTATACCAAAGAAATAAATGTTTGTCTTCATAATCTTTGTAATTTTGTAACTTTCCTTTTCAGAAGAGATCGCTTATAATTAGATTTAGATTAGATTCACCAAAACCAAATATATATATCGAGTTGTTTATTCAGTTATGACTCCATTCTGGTATAACAAACATACTTTACTCCATCATATCAAATCCTGAAGGATGATCTTGCTAAATATACTTTTTCACTGAGAAATACGTCATATTTCAGAAGTAAACAAACTAGAATAAAATGCATGCACAAATATAAGTAATTAAAAATGATTGATTTTATTATCGAGATCACATTCTAATGAAGGATGCTGTTCTTTAAGCTTCATGAGACTTTGAGCAAGTTATCCCGTCTCAAGTTATTCCAGTTTTCCATTTAAAACACATTTTGACACACAGGGCCTCTTCATATCAAACAACAAAATGTAAAAAAACAAAAAAAAACATCTGTGGTGGTTTGTGTGGTTACCAAGTCATTAACTAGTCTGCTGATACTGATCAAATATACATGAGACGGCGAGGAAAGAACTTATTTCAGAGCTTGTGAGTTATGGCGCTGAGTTCAGGCTATCTTAAGCTGTGTTCAGACTGTAAAAGTCAATTAGTTTCAATGAGAGCTGGTGATTTTAAACTTTTATTGAAAATGCATGACTTAAAGGAATAGTTTACCCAGAAATGAAAATGTGCTCACCCTCAGATCATCAGGATGAGTTTGTTTCTTCATCAGATTTGGAGAAATGTGTCTCAGCAGTGGATGCTCTGCAGTGAATGGGTGCCGTCAGAATGAGAGTCCAAACAGCTGATAAAAACATCACAATAATCCACAGCACTCCAGTCCATCAGTTAACATCTGGAGAAGACAAAAGCTGAAACTAATCCAGCATTAAAACGTTTTAGTCCATAATCCATAATAACGTGTCCTCCAGTGAAAAATCCGTCTCGCATCAAAATCCAGCCACATATGTGTTTAGAGCTGTTTAAACGCTGCTTGATCTGTGCAGATTTCTCTCCTGATTCACACCAGAACACTGACTCACTGGAGGAAGCGTTATTATGGATTATGGACTCGTATTTTAGTAAAAAATGTCTTAATGCTGGATTTAATTCAGCTTTTGTCTTCTCCAGATGTTAACTGATGGACTGGAGTGCTGTGGATTATTGTGATGTTTTTATCAGCTGTTTGGACTCTCATTCTGACGGCACCCATTCACTGCAGAGCATCCAAGTGGGTGAAATATTGCTTTAACGTTGCTTGGTCGCAAATCAGCATTAGAAGGCGGTTGCAAGCGATCTACAGAAGTTTGAGTTATAAATGGTTTTGATTAGCAGCTGATATTGCGGGATGGAGTATCTGCATTACCTGGGTATTTGTTCTTCTTTTTTTTTTGCCAAAAAGCTGTAATAGCATGTATAAAAGTGTTTCAAGCTCGAGATTACATTGTAGCATGCAGCAGATTTACAAACATCTAGACATCAGTGCATCTTTACAATAACCCAGATTGGGTTCCCCAAAACACACAGGAATCATTTTCCAAATGCACTTCAATAAAGTTTCCCAATCCTTGCATGTTTGTTTATGACATATTAAGTCTAACTATGATTTTAGCAACCAATATCAGGTCAGTTCAACACATTAGATTGCGTTTGCTACTGAAAACACTGCCTTAAACCTGTCTGGCCTTATTTAATGAGCTTGTGCTGATAAAACCCTCATATAAAAATGAGCTTCAGCCAACAAAACTACAAAAGCACCATAGCAAGATACAGAAAACAACATATGAAAGTTCATCTTCACTTCTGCGTTCCTGACAGACCTGCTCTCATCCGCTAGGAAAATAAAATCAGAGCATTTAGCTGCGAAAATGCATAAAAAACAGCAATATGGAGTTGATAGACTTTTACATGTTGCATTTCAGTCTCGTTACACACCGTTTCCCTGATCTACTGATATTATTCTGGATTAATGTGTCACCTGAAGTCAAATTTAGTTTAAGATGGTCAAACAGAAGGTGAAATCCACAAAGACTGATGATATCTTACTCAACACACACACACAAAATCATCAGACATCAGTGCTGGGGAAAGTTACTTTTAAAAGTAATGCATTACAATGTTGCGTTACTCCATAAAAAAGTAACTAATTACGTTACTTAGTTACTTTTTATGGAAACTGAACGTAATGCGTTACTTTTTAAATCTGGACAGGGCTGGCTTGTTTGTTTTTAAAATAAAAAAGTTCAATTTTTGGCAAATATAAAAGCCTTTTCACACCAAAAGTGAAATGAATAAGCCTCAGGCTGAAGGGAAAGTACATTTACGTCCATACAGTAGAATGCAGAAGAAGACATTTCAACACACTTCAGCAATAAAAATAAAATCTAAAGTAATTTGTGTTTATTAGTATGCTTGAACCGGATCATCGAAGGTCAGAAGCTAATAGAATGGGATTAAATACATAAAGCATATTTGTGTTTTTTAACATTTAATTATTGCAGGTTTGCGTCATATTCGGAGTTGCATTATTTTTATTCATTTTGAGGAATACTGAATCTGTGTTTTTCTTTTTATTTGTCAGTGAGATTAATTAATGCATATTCATATTTATTTTAGAGCTACAGTAACATCTTCTGATGTCTCTCAACAGGAGAAAAGTAAACTCAGATATTCTCTTGTAAATTAAAAATGCGTTACTTTACTAGTTACTTGGGAAAAAGTAATCTGATTACGTAACTCGCGTTACCCCCAACACTGTCAGAAATTCACATTAGGAGGATTTTAAAGTCAACATGACCTTATTTACTAGGCTATTCATTTTTCTCCAGTTTCATTCAGAACATCACATTATGGAGATAAAATGGGTTTCATGTTGACTTTAAAGTATGGTCAGCGTTTGAAACATGCAGACAGCCTCTCGCACACAACAAACATCCGTAAGAGGTAAACCTGTGACTCCGGTTTAATCCTCTGTTGCAAATTCAGTTTGTTTGTCCCTGTTATCAGAGCCCTTCACAGGAACCGCGGCGATTCATATTCCAGCATTTTGTCTGAAGCAAAAATAATATTGTCTGTTTATATACATATACATGTTATATAGAGAGATTGATAAATATTTGACCTTTAGACTATGTACAGCGGAGAGTGAACAGCATTTACACATGCTAATATTTACAGCAGAGTTTGTGACGTATTATTAATAACATATTCATTCATATCAATCAGACGTATAACAATCAACGGCCTTTGTTCGGTCAGTACAGGGTTCCCAAAGTCACGGAAAACCTGGAAATCTAAGGGAATTTTAACCCTCGAATGCATGATGTGTTCACTAGAGGAGATATTTTAATCATTTAGGGCGGGATAGATGATCTCCTAAATTCCCCTTATCATCTGTCATTGTGTTTTTCATTTATGATGCACAATCCATCTACAAGATCTGCTACTGTGTTTTATTGCAGAGGTCAGATGTGTAATATACTCTCTTATAATACATCATTTAAAAATATAAGATCATATCTGTGGACGTGGAATGATGATGTTGTTTAGAAACATTCATGCATTTTTTTTCTCCAATATATTGATTCACTAGTTAATGCATCAAAGAGTTCAAATGTGATTTGCAGGTCTGGAAAAATTAATTGAAATTATTCCTAAAAAGGTTTGATATCAGTACAAACGCACTTTACTTTATCCAGCATTCATTCAGAGTTTTTCTCGAAATAATGACTTATTTTCTTGAAATAATAAGAACCTTTCTAAGCAATTAGAATAAGCTAATTAATAAGCAATAAGCAATTTTAACTAGTGACACACATCGTGTCCATCCTGTCATTGTGTCGCCTGCTAATGACGTCAAAACCCCTCGATTTCCGGTTTTGTTTTGTAGAAAA